CAAACGACATACCAATCAAATAACATCAAAACTTTCTAAGTTATACAGTCCAGCTAATAAAGAGGCTATGTAAATAAAATTGTTAACCAGCTACAAACTTTTAAAAACTTTTTAAAAATCCTTAAGATTTTCACCTTGACATTCTTCATGTATTGATACGGTACATAATAAAACATCTTATGTAGTGGATTTTAAGTTGGGTTATAGTTTTTTTGAGTGACAATTCAAGATCTAACCTAGAGCTCAATTTCACCGCTGCCACTGCTCTCAGGATATTTTTGCCAGGGATAGAGCATTCCAATCATTGTTCCTAATGCGCTGTCTCTGTCAAGTAATAACTACTTAAGTTACCAGGTATTATCAGGGGAAATCTCTTTCAGGAACACCTGGGAACTAAAAAGATGTATGTACTCAAATATCCAGCATTTCTCAAGCCAATTTCAGGGCTCTTTCAAACATTTATTGGAGGTTAGACAAAACAATACAAAATAATTTCCTGTTCTGCAGAATTCATAAATTACCATACTTCTAATTACAAAGAGAAAACATCCAGCTTGCCAGCAACTTCTACCATGACCTTAAAACTCAATTCTTCCTTCTGATGAAGTAACTGCGGCATGAGGTGCTTAAGAGAGCAATATGAGGCACCTGGTTTTAAAACAACTTGGTTAGATATGTTCTAATTCATTCAAAAGCAAATGCAGATTTTATGTGTCAATTATACAACAATAGAGCTGTGTTATTTACTTCTAATAATTTTATTACAAATATATTTTTTGGAGACTTTTGATTTCAAGTTGATATTAGGACAATGCTTGTTATCACCTGTGATATAGGTATAGGAAAAGCCAAAAGAAAGCCAAGAGCTGACTGAATGGTACCTAACAATAATTATAAGGCCTTATTCACTAAATTAGATCCTTTCGTATTCATTGTTATTATCAATGAATCACCTGAAAGAACAATTCTGATTTTATATATCCAACGAACATATGAAATACTGCTTTAGTCTGGCAATTTTTTGCTCCTAGCAAGGTTTGGTTAAAAAGTCCAACCAATTTTCTGCCCTCAAATTTTATTAATTAAAACACCAAGGAATCGTAACTTACAACCGAGAATCCCCCAGATCTTTAAAGTGACATTCCACTTTTCTGAACTTATAAAAAAAAAATGTTGCTGATTGCTATTTAGAAGCATTAGCTTTTAAAGCAATCATTGTTTTGAAAATAGAACCTACAGATGGAACTTATGTGAATACTTGAATATGTTAATAATCTGAATTCAATTGTTGAATGACCATATGAATGTTGAGTAAATTCATGCTTCATTATTTCCTTCTTTGGGTTTTCTATGAGAAACAAAAGCCACCTAGTGACTTTTAGAAAATATTTTCAGAAACTTGAATAGCTTATTGAAAAGAAAATATCTAGACTCTCCAACGTTTTTATTCTTCACGTGAACATAAAGTTGCTTAAGAAGGTAGTTATCAATCTTTGGGATTCAGTCACAGAACATTTTATTATTATGGAACCAAAGTAAACAATCCATCTCCTGAGACCAAAAGGTCTTCTGAAAATTGTACTCTTCCTATTAAATGTTATGAAAATTAGAAAATTTTTAAAAAATAATTCTGAGCATAAAGATTTTACATTGGCTCCATTTCTTCTATTTGCATGAAAGTTAGAAACGAAAAGCATCAGGGCGGGGGCCGGGTGGGATGAATTGGGAGATTGGGATTGACATATATACACTAATATGTATAAAATAGATAACTAATAAGAACCTGCTGTATAGCACAGGGAACTCCAGTTCGCCGTACAGTAGAAACTAACACAACATTGTCAAACAATAATAATAATAAAAAAAAAAGAAATGAAAAGCATAAAATGTTTGTGTGTCCAAATAAAATCATTTTGTGACCAAGTATTATTTTCAGATTTCCTGAAGACTGTTTTCCAGATTTTTAAATCGAATGATTCTTAACATTTAAAAAATATTTTCTGGTAGGGGAGGATTAGCTTGGTGTCCAAATCCATATAATTATTTGTCCATCTCCCTGGTTTTTGGATTTTATCAAATATCAACCAATCCTTTATAAAGTATTCACTTTTATATAATACCAGCTGATCTCAGATGATGCTAGAGAATAAAATGATTACTGTGTTTTTGATTTGAATACAAATTATAATTTTAGTTTATAAAATTATATAAACAACTGTATTATATACGTCCATCACATACCAGGCACTGCCCTGGGAATTAGAACACAATGGGGACTAGACAGATATGGATGGCCCTGCCCTCCTTAACCTTTACAGTGTGTGTTTTCTAAAAGTTTTTTATGCCTCATACTTTGAAGTTTCATTTGTTTTCCATCCTGTCTCTAAAACTCTCAAATATCCATGTATTATGAGACTATTTACAGAGCTACCTTAGGACGTTCAATCTTGGGTGATAAATATTCTGAGTGAACAAAACTGAAAAGACAGAACAGGATGCAGAAAAGTTCAATAAACTTTCTCAAAATTTTATGATCTCAAAATCCTAATATTCCCTCGAAAAATCCTCATTTTTTCCTGCTGACAAAGATACAATTATATTCAAGTTGTTCTTTTAACTGTATAAATGTTATATCACAATGTATACAAATACATTGCTCAAATTTTTCCTTTACATTCTACAAGGAATTTTATACGATATATTTGAAGAATGCATTGGCTGTTATCAGATAACTGTTTTATCATCAATCGAAGAATGAATCTATCAAAGGATGAATCACTTGTCATTTAAGGAAAGTTATTGGTTTCTATATTTTGGAGTGGAATTATTTAAATCATTATGGAACCCAGGAAATGAAATTGATAAACTTAATCATGTAACTAAGTTTCCTCTGTAGTTTCACCTTTGTGAAGGTGAAAAAACAGACAAAACAAAAATATCTCATCTATATCAAAACTAAACCTTGAAAAAAACAAATATACATTAATTCTATTTCAACACACCATGTGGCTTATTTACTGCTTAGTTTGAAATACCCATATTTTTATGTCCCTAGCTACCCCTGTGGTTTAAGCAACCTTAAGGATTGGAAAAATACAAATCTTTAAAGGGAGGCACTCAGTTATTACAGCAACTCATGCACAGCCTCACTATTACCACTTTCGCCAAAACACACGTTCATAAAAAAGCATCACCTTCAGGAAGCACCATTCCATTTTGTCAGAGCAACTTAAAATACTATTAAGTTCCCCATCTTTTATTGTTTCCTTCCACTTTTTCATAATTTTGCATAGAAAAAATATTTTTAAAATGTTTGTATACTCACCTCCCTGAACAAAAGCTAGTTTTATGGGTAGAGTAGATTTTGCAGTGGCAAATTAAGGCAACAAAAGTGGCCATATGAGAGAAACTCACAGGGGTGCATGCAGTTTTATTGCACTGTTATTTGGCGTACCAATGACAGAATTCTTCAATTAGTTAACACACACACACACAAATACACAACAACTCTGAACTACAGGGATAGTATTCAGAAAGATCACTATGCCAAAAACATAACTTGTTTTGTAATACCATGAACTTTCCTGAAGTAATTTTTTATATATTTTTACAGCATTTAAACAAACACACTTCAAAACCGATGCTACTGAAAAATCCTTTAAAAAGTAGGAAGGATTTTCTTTTGGTAAGGGGAGTTGTCTGAAATATTTTTTAATGCATTGACACTACGAAAATACAAGCCTATTTTTGATAACTATTACTACCATAGTTTTTAATACTACCCAGACATATTTCTTTATTTTAACATACAGTTTCATTAATTATCATAAATACCATATTCGTGACATATCAGATTATTAGAAAATAAAACAGGTTTAGGAAGTTTGATAGTATTGATTATTGCTGCTTTTGTTTCTTAAGCTAGTCAACTAAACCATAAAGACATTGGAATGAGGTAATAACAGAATTTTTCAAGTAGACATTCATGCCCAAAATAAAGTCTGGAGATTTACTTTAAAGTTGTACCACTATATTGTCATGCAGACCCTCTAAAATAATTGTATCATTTCCTACCATGTAATTGTATGCTTTTAAATTGACACTAAGTAAATTATGACAAGTACAAACAGGTGTGATTGAGAGAAGCGTTGTGGAAAAGCGCTTATGCCAAAACAAGTATGTTTAAAAAGTAAAGCCCGTGTCTACAATTAGCCTCACATTTTTTTAGGCATAAAAATGTAGCACTTGAGTTAATAAAATATTTAATAGGACTGATACACACATACTGACTCAAGAAAAATCTGTGTGTGTGTGTGTGAAATATGTTTATTTACACAATGGGCATTGCCGGCTTGAAAACAGCAAATCGAATCAAAGTAAAATAGTAATAATAAGGATTAAGAAGGACAGCTGTTTGAATCCTTTCTTAATGCCTAAAATCACCTAAATTTCTCAAAGATTTTTGAAAGAATGAGTTCACAAAAAGTTTCTCTACAGAGTATTTTCACTTTGGGAACTTTCCAGGTTTTAGGAATGCCCCACTCAAAAAGGGAGCCAAAGCATTGTTTCCGGATTGTATCAGCAGCTCTGTTTTTCTGTTCTAATTAGTGGCTAATAAATTCTAGTTATATCTTCATCAAAATGTTAACTCTTCCTATAATATACTAAAATTCTGTCTAAAGCAAAATAAAACTTGCCATCCCACTACTCTCAAATAGGCGAGGCAACAAACAAGAAGAAGGTGATGCTAGTGGTGGAAACCAGAAGTGGTCAAAGGGAGAAAAAAGGAGTCAAAATAATCCTCCTTTATTTTCAGAGATCCTTGAACTGGTCACTGCAATCATTGTTACTGGAACAATATCCTCACCAGTTGAGTGTACACGCTAGCCCTAACTCCCTAGAGCTTTGTTCCCCAGGAGCAATTTTCATCAGAATCTAACTGCAACAAAACACATACTTTCACAACAGAAGCTCCCGAATACACACACGCTGGACTTTACCTGTTTTTATGCCGAGTCTTCAGCAAGTTCCTTCCAAAGGGAGCCATGGCCCGCCAGGCCAGCGAACAGCAAGGACAGTATCTCAAAGTTCTCTGGGGATGGGGGAGATATCTGGATTTCTAGGGTGAAGGGAAGAGACCTGGAAGCTTCCTCTTCACCTCCTCAGATGCTCCTGGCTTTCAGCTCATTAGTATCCGTCTGAAGGGAGCTGCTGGAAGTTGTGCAACTGTTGCTTAACTTTGAACTGCGGGATTGCTGTGGCTGCTGCACCTTTGGAGACCTGCCCAGCTTCAGCCTCGAAGGAGGCGTCTGGAGGCAGGAAAAGGAAAAGAAAAAAAAAAGAGAGAGAGAACGAGAGGAAGGGAGGAGGACTCTATTGTGTTCTATAGTTATTTGCAGACTTGCTAAAAGAGCTGCCACCCCACAGGCATGGTAATACCCACGGAATGGGAATTTCACTCGCTTTGGAAACCCCCCTCTTCCGCTCTCCACGCCCAACCACACAGGGTGAAGTGAACACACATAAAAGATTTAAAAGTAAATACCTCCACCTCCCATCCAGCTCCAGTCTGTGAAAAGTAATCTGACGGAGGCAAGCAGGAGTGAGGGCCAAGAAGTCTTTGCCCAGCGATTCGACACAAAATTCCCCCGCCCGGGGTGTCAGTGCTGTAACATACATCGAGGAGCGAAGCTGGAGGCTGGATCGAGGGAGACTCCCAGACCCCTGAGGAATCTGAGCCCCGAGTTTCCCCCAACTCCGTCCCTCTACTCTTCAAGGTCATCTTCCAAAAGCTGGAGGACCTGAAGGACCAAAGGGCTCCAGGGCTGAATGATCACAGCACTGGCACAGGAACCAGCCAGGGTTTGGGGTCCCGACCCCGCCGCATCTTTGGCACTTACTGGCCCTTTTAGACCACGGGAGTTTGAACGAAGAGCCAACTGTTGGCTCTCGCCCCTCGAGTAGTAAATTGAGAAAGGACGCGCCGCGAGGACTTCAGGGAACTGAAGTGTGCAGGTCGAGGGGCTGGCTGACATCACCTAGTCTCACGTGATCTCGAACCCTGGCCCACGGCAGCCCCGGCAGAGTTGGGCGAGCGCACGCGGGTGCGGGCGGCAGCGAGCAGCGCGGGAGGAACTCCCCTGCCCCGCGACGCCGTGGGAAAGCGCTGTCCAAGGGCGAGGCCCTGCATAAACTTCCCAAGACATTTTTTCTAGGATTCCGTTTCCACTCCCCTCCTCCGACTCCCCTCTCTTCTGCCCCCGCCCGCTCGCCCCAACTCCTGCCCGCCCCAGGCCCTGCCTGCTGCGCTTCTAATCTTGGGCTTCCGTAGCAGAGGGAGGGAGGGAAAAGAAACTGTGGCTTCACTCTGAATACCACTTCAGGACAGGGGATCTCTGGACCACTAGAAACACGAAAGGCTCAGACTTTCTTTGGGAGCACACCCTCCACCCTCAACAAAAGCAAGCAAAAAAAGTGATCTCAAAGGTTTCTATAATTTTTATATGTCCTGATTTATGCAGAATTATACAGAGCTCAAAAAAATCATTTTTCCAAAGTTTACTAGCATAACTCTTCTCTAGTCCTCTATACTGTATACACATATATGTATTTTATATAACATTATTATCTAAAATTTGTTGTTTATTGTTTGTAATTGTACATAAATATTATATATAAGCCATATATATATATATATATATATATCCCTAACTGTTAGAAATTAGCCAATTTATTACAATAGCCAGTGCTTTAATTCAGTTACCTTTTTTCTACTCCTGGAAGATAGGATAATTTTTTTAAAAAATACAGTCATCTTTTAAATGGATCTGTGGTAGTGGTACCAGAGAAAACCTTTAAAATACTGAAAGTCGTAAGTAGTAATGACATATTTTGTTTTACATGTATGTGTGTATATATATATATATCTCACATATACATACACACTTTACATGCAGCGTAAATAAAACCATATTTAGGGTGTACTTCAGTTTCAGTTCTTGACTTTATTTTACAAGCACATCACAAAAAATCATTTAAACTATCATGGAAACTTGCCCAGTTATTCTAACTTATTCAAAATAGAATCCCCTAAAGCTATACTGCTTGCTTATTAATATGATGGCTGCAGCCAATTTGCAAAGAATGTTGCATTTACAAATATCCCTGCATTTCCTATAGTTTTGGTTCTCCACCCTTATTAACATTATTTGTATATGTAGTTTTCATATAAAACAATTTTTAATAGAGGAGTTTAATGGAACAAGAGGAAACATTCTTTACTAGCATAATCTTATGCTGAGTTTCAAGTTCGCACAAATGAACCTCATTTAGGATGTTATTATTCCTCACATAAAATATTCTATTAATACTATTTATGACAAGCTCTTTGATGTGTAAGAATTAAATATCTCTCAGATATTAAAAGCTGAAAGGAATCAAAAACATGGGCACTAATATCTAAATAGAAAAGTAAGCAAGTAACAATTTGAAAAGAAAATAACAAAACCATGTTTAAAAAAAAACTAGTAACCAGATATTGTATAGGTAAATTGAAATGAGATTTTATTTTGCATCTACCAAATTGCCTGATTTTTAAAATGATTATTCTCAGCTCTGTCAGTATGATGGTCAGAGTAGTGTTGACATATAGTATTAGACAAGGAACTGGCTATTTTTCTTTACAGGGTAGAAAGTAGGTAAAAAATTATCTCAAAGTGAAAATTAGGCAAACTAATGACTGCATGTCCTTTCAGTGATATAATGGAGCCTTGTCTAATAGTTCTTCCCAAAGATAATCCAGTCCCCTGGCAGAATGCAATTTTTTAAACTTACTATTTACTACTGATTAGGCCCAGACTCTGTGAAATTTAGGTTTAAGTTGTGTTTTAAGAAAAAGGAAAGATGCAAGTAGAAAGATAACTCAAAAGGTTATAGTTTTATTGCACTGTAGGACATCAACCAATTTTACATCTAACTTAGTTTTATTTCAGCCTTCTGTCTTTAATTCACTAACTATATATAGCAGTCTTCCCTATCCTCTTTTGGGCCAGTTTTACAATTCTGCTGAGTTCCTCATTAATAAGTCAATCTTTGACACTTGCCCACTATATATTTGTATGAGATTCATAATAGCAGTTTTTTGAAAATTATACTTTGAAAAACTCTGAGCATGCATCTGTCCTTTTCTGAACCAATAGGAAATCTTCATAGAAGAAAGATGGTTACTTATCTGTACAATCCCTATCTTTCCCTATGTGTAAAATGTGTTTTGATGGCAGAAAATAAAATGTTCTTTCAATCATCTCTAAGTATACAGCTCAACCAAAATAAATAGAAAAGGTATATTTCCTTACATATTTAAATTAACATGAAAAATCAACAGGGAGGATGGTACATTATACTTGATAATAAAAGAATGAATATTCTCTTCAATCAAATGAACATTATTTAATCTGTGGTTGAGGTGTTATCAGAAGCTAAACAGTGTTAAAACATGTATTCTGATAGAAAACCCTGTTTTTGAAGGAGGTATAACAGACAAATGTATCAATTTTTGTCTAGTTCATTCATAGCCTCTCTTCACATTAGGAAGTTGTTGGTTTTTGTTTATATTTGCTGCACCACGCAGCATGTGGGATCTTATTTCCCCGACCAGATATCAAACCCATACTCTCTGCAGTGGAAGCACGTGGAGTCCTAACCACTGGACAGCCAGGGAATTCCCTAGGAAATCTTTTTTAAATCGAATTTTTCCAGTGTTATTGAGATATAATTGACCTACATCACTGTATAAGTTTAAGGTGTACAGCATAATGACTTACATATATTGTGAAATGATTCTTGCAATAGGTTTAGCCAGCATCCATCATCTCATAGATACAATAAAAAGAGAAAGAAAAAAAGAAAAACAAATTTTTCTTTTTTGTGATTAGAAGTCAGGATTTACTCTCTTAACGTTAATATACATTATATACCTGTGTTAACTATAGTCGTCATGCTGTTCATTACATCCCTAGTCTTATTTATCTTGTAACTGGAAGTTTGTACCGCCTACCTCCAATTCCCCCTCCCCCCAACCCCATCCTGACTTCTAGTGACCACACTCAAGACATTTTATTATATGAACTTTTCTGACTTTTAGCTTTAGCACAGATGACTTCACTAAAAGGGTAGCAGATATAAGTATAGGGGTTAAGAGCATGAGTTTTGTAGCCACAGAGATCTACGTCATAGTAAAGAGCCTGGCCACTTCCTAGTAAAGATCTTGGATAAATTACTTGATGTGTCTGAGCCTCAGATTTCTGATAATAATAATGCATTCTCAGTTTTCATTAGACGTAAGTTTAGGAGAATTTTAACTTTTTTAAAAAATACTGTCTTGTACAGATGTGTTGTATTCTTATTACTAGAAATTTACTCTTCACATTTTAATGATTAAATTGGCTTACTGGTGTAATTATCATACACATCTGTGCTAGTAAGAGCCAGTTTTCCCCAGGGCCTGCATGAAAAAAATAGCAGGGCTGAGGTTCTAGATCTTGGATTACACACAGGTACTTGACTCTGAGCCAGTTTATCACCACTCATATGGTAATCTGTGAGGAAATAACATACTACAGAGCTTGTTATAATCAATCAGTTTATCTGATTTACTGAAAACCCCATTTTCAATTAAGGGGAAAAGAGTAAGATAGAGAACCTGTTTTGTTTGGACAACAAATAACTCAGAAATAATTAAAACTGGCCAGAAGAGTGGAATCCAAACTTGAATGAGAATCTTTGGACAATCAAGATGTGGCAAAAGGGCACCATGTAGAACAGAGCTGTTTATAGCAAAAGGTAGAAAATCTCAAAAAAGTTAGTGGAGGATACGGTTAAACTGAATTCCAGAGCTATTATTTTTATTCCAATGAGTGTCTATCTTCTAAAGTTCTTTCCTATCTTAAGATTGCTCATGGAAATAGAAAACATGTCTAAAGAGTGGAACAGATGTATTTTTTTGTCACAGAATCTTTTAAATAATGAATGTAGGTGTCATAGGTTATGAAATAACCTCTCTAAAAGTTTTGAGCAAGGAAGAGATAACAATTTTGAATGGTTTAGGAAAAGCCCAGAAGCAGAGATCCCATTTCAGCTCTAGGATTCTATTACTGGCAGTATTCTTTTGATTCTCCAAAAAAAAGTTTAGAATGGCCGTCTAAGCTTTTGTAGGATTTACGTAATCATGTCTAATTAGTCATCCAGCTAATAGGTGGCTCCAAGCTTTTAATTAATTAAACAGTATTTGAATAGCTGGCTGGTTGGGGGTTGGCCAGATACCTGTGTCCTGAATAAAAGGCCAAATTTCTTCACTTGGTAGCCATGGCTATTATTAACTCTAAATGAGATAAAGTGACAAATCCATATAAGGAAGGCTGCTACTAGTAATTGCTCAACTTCATGGGACTTCCCTGGTGGCACAATGGTTAAGAATCTGCCTACCAACGCAGGGGACATGAGTTCGATCCCCGGTCCGGGAAGATCCCACATGCCACAGAGCAGCTAAGCCTGTGCGCCACAACTACTGAGCCCGCGTGCTGCAACTACTGAGCCTCTGTGCCTAGAGCTCATGCTCTGCAACAAGAGAAGCCACTGCAATGAGAAGCCCGCACACCGCAACAAAGAAAGCCCATGCTCAGTAATGAGGATCCAAAGCA